CCCCGTCTTCCCCTAAATTTGAAATAAGCGCCCCGGGCGCTAATTCGAGGATTTACGGTATCTTAGAGTAAATCGCCCTTTTATGGAGAGCTGGCAGCCATCACCCTCCCCTCCACCCCCCCCCCCTTTTGTAGGTCTCAGACTTAATCTATGCTCGAAAAGTGTTCAAATTAGCGCAGAAATTGTAGAAAATGTGAGCTCCCATCATTTTTGATTCTTTTCTTTACTTACAATACAACTCAAGTCCAACTGATGAATATAACACTAACGAGAGGTGATTTAAAAGTAGTAATTATTAGATATTTGTAAATAACCCACCGGTCGCTGACTTTCCAGGGCTTCCATTTCGCCAAAAATCCGATTACATATCCATTCATTTCCAAATCATTTACCATTTAGTTTGGAAAAATGCTAGATATTCATAGGCCAACGAAGAGTGCGTATAGAGGGCATATAGTGCAAAACTGTTTCTAGTTTATTATCACGCGATTCTGTTACATTCAAACAGTTAACAAATTAGTAAGCAATGGCGAGATGCGAGACGCGAAACACGAATTAATAACCAACGGTAAATTGCGAGACGCGAAACGCGGGAACTGCGTGACAGCACCCAGACAGTGGTCACTTAAAGGCAGGCATATTGTAGTAACGATCGAAGCGACGTCGCGACAGCCATATCTTCAATCAACGTAAACTATAATTTCTCAAACCCTCAAGCAATCGCCGGCTATATGGGATTATGCTATTGCATAATCCCACAAAATGGTATGACTAGAGGAGTTTTAAAGCAGAGTTTCGGTTTCTGTGGAAGATTTAAAATTTTCATGTCAGTGATTTGTCGAAACAAAAGCTCGCTATGTGTACTTTCTGCCTATCCAAGTATATACTCATTGTAAGATCCAAGTGTAACATTTTTTCTATTATTCGTTCTTGCGTAATTTGTTTTTCCTTTGCGTACGCAAATTAGTTTATACTTCTTTTCGTCCTTTTGTTCAGTCTTTTTTTTGCGTCAATTTAGGTGTTTATTCCTTTCTGTCAGTTTTCGCGCCCTCGTTAGCGTTTCTTTGCTGTTTCATCTTCATTAGCGCCTTTCTAAGTTTCTATAGTTTTATTTTCCGCATGTCATAGCGTATTTTCCATATCATAGCTTTGCAGTACAGTTTTGGGGCAGTTCATTTTGGTCCGCGCTTAGCGCAGTTCTATTTAGCTTTCGTGCTAGTCTCTTCGCGTTATTCGCAGTCCGTTTCACAACAGTTTTCTCTGGCCGAAACAATTTTGAACCCACGCTGTTTGTATCCACGCTATTTGCATCTACGCCGCTCGTATGCACACTCGTTGTACCACGCCGTTTTGATTTATGGAGTTGTTTATTAAAGGCCAAGAGAGTTTTTTACGCTTATTGCAGTTTCACTCATTGACCCCTATAAATTTTTGCTGAAACTTGTATGACACACAAAATGAGAAATCTGGAACATTGTTTGTACCCGAATTTCTAAAATGATCGATCGATAGACTCGGTCCGGCAGAGTTTGATACCTTATCGCATGCCGTTAACTAAGTGTATTTTGACAATCTTATAAATCCATTGAAATCAAGGTGTTTTATCTACAAGTGCAATGACTTTATACCAATGTCCCAGGTGAGTTTAGCGACACCTTGTTTTCGACAAAGAAGAAACGAATGGCTACTGTAATATTTCAATAACACCGGTGCTGAAAACCAAATGACAGAACTTACCTTTTGATGTTGGCAGAAAGATAAATTATTTCCACTTTCGTCTTGAATCCAACGGCTAGTAATCTGATATACTAAAAAGTGCCATGGCGCTTTTCCAAACCATCCAAATAGTGCACTCTGCACTAAAAACACTATAAAACGGCACTAAAAACGAACGGATTCANTTCTGCATGTCCTAGCGTATTTTCCATATCATAACTTTGCAGTACAGTTTTGGGGCAGTTCCTTTTGGTCTGCGCTTAGCGCAGTTCTATTTAGTTTTCATGCTAGTCTCTTCGTGTTATTCGCAGTCCGTTTCACAACAGTTTTCTCTGGCCGAAACAATGTAAGTGTAATTCACAGTCCTCGTTTTGCAGTTTTGTTATTTCTTTATTTGAATTTAGCTTAGTTGCAACTTGTAACTATTGCTCCTCTACTGTTTTAGTTTCAACCCATGCTGTTTGTATCCACGCTGTTTGTATCCACGCTATTTGCATCTACGCCGCTCATATGCACACTCTTTGTACCACGCCATTTTGATTTGTGGAGTTGTTTATTAAAGGCCAAGAGAGTTTTTAACGCTTATTGCAGTTTCACCATCTACCAACATTACAGCTGACTCGTCAGCATCCCACTCTTGATCTCTTTGTCTTGCCTGTTTCATTCTCAGGAATACATGACGTTTCTCATATGAAATTGTCTTTGCCATTGAAAGAGCTTTTGTATACTTGGCATCAGTGCGGTGCATTTTATGAAATCTTTGAAGATGTTGGGGAAGTCTGTTAGTGGTGGTCATGCAGCCTTTGAGGGGTCAAATTTTGTTCTTGTGGCAATGTTTCCTTTGACATCTTCTTTTGGTGGNGGCCGAAACAATGTAAGTGTAATTCACAGTCCTCGTTTTGCAGTTTTGTTATTTCTTTATTCGAATTTAGTTAAGTCGCAACTTGTGACTTTTGCTCTTTTACTATTTTAGTTTCAACCCACGCTGTTTGTATCCACGCTATTTGCATCTACGCCGCTCGTATGCACACTCTTTGTACCACGCCGTTTTGATTTGTGGAGTTGTTTATTAAAGGCCAAAGGGAGTTTTTACGCTTATTGCAGTTTCATCGTTGAAAATTGTTGGTGACATGTCGTCTCGTCATGAGTTTTAGCCGCAAGCAGCTTACAGATCCCGTCGCCCGGCGAGTTGGAACACGCGTGCGACAACCAAACCGCTCACTGGATTTTGAGGCGTCTAACCTGGAAACGCTTCGTTTAAAGAAAAATTCAAGGTCTGGTCACCTATCTACCGTAACAGCCATTTCCAATGAAATTTCTGGCTTGCTTACTGATGATCATAATCTTCAGGAGGTTAAGGAGAAGCTTCCTNCACGCCGTTTTGATTTGTGGAGTTGTTTATTAAAGGCCAAGAGAGTTTTTTACGCTTATTGCAGTTTCAGTGACGATTTAGTGGAGAACCTCTTCAGCAAATGGTTGACCTTGAATGACCTTGACCTTAATTTTCATTCAGTCAATGTAAATTATTTTAATCACATGTACCTGACAATTGACGAGTGATTTCATTGTTCATTTAGTTAACATCATTGTTTCACTACTCTTTAAAACAATAGAAGCAAATTACACGACATAATTTGTAGACTTGGAATGCCATGGAAACTGCCATAGAATGCATAAAATCACAGTTTGAAGCGTTTTTTTTTCTGTTACCTTTTAAATTGTTTTGCAGATTCTGGTCATAATTCATTTCTCAAGCAAGTGAAGTAAGAAATGTTTAAAACCGAGTCGTTTAAATTATTGACTAAATATAATTTTAAGAAACCGAACTTATTGAAAATTGAAGAGATGCTTTGTCGTACGATCATGTTGCAAAAATAACATAACACGAGCAAAAACTTAAGACTGCCTTCTGACCAAAACACAGTTTCTAAAACGTCATAACACCGGAGATCAAACAAAAGAACACTTCGTGCCACCTAAAACTTGTGAAAACATATCTTTTAAAAATATTTTGGATTAAAAATTGTTTTGTGGTCAATCGCTTTCTAGTTGCTTCACTGTTAATTAATTAAACTTGCGTTCAATTTCCTTTAGCAGACTGTTAATTTTCACAAAACATCTTAAGCTGGTGCGAATGAGCTACACGATTTTGAGATAACACTGTTGCTTGGCGTGGTAGAAAAAAACTGAGTTCGAATCTGAATAAAACCGATAGCTGTACATAGAAAACTTCACGCATAAGCCATCTAATCAACACGTTCTTTAGATAAAGAGGATTGTCACTAAGAGTTATTTACTAAGCAGATTTCAAGACAATTTGTTTTGTTTCTCTAAACAAAATTATCTAGATGGAATGTGCGAACTTTGTAAGATTTTCTAACGTGGCACTTGCTCAAAATTGTTCGTGTTAACTTGTTGAGCAATCAAAAGTATTACTCAAGGTAACCAAAATGCAACTCGGAAATTACAAACTTTTTATTTATTTCGAACATAGTTAGTAGAGTATGGTTTTGGTTTTAGGTTTATTTTTTTATTTCTCAGAGTGACGTTTTCCTAAATGGATTTATTTTATTGGGAAGAAAAAAATTATTGCTTATCCCGAAGGAAACATGACAATACCTCCCTCCAAATTGGCTGACCTTGAGTGACGTTCAATTTAATTTATTCAAATACCATTAATTATTCAGTTTATTACACAAACCTAAAAAAGGACGATGGAACATTTTCATAGTTTATCGTTGCTAAGTTCAAAGCAATACATTTGCTAACATGGATTTTGTTTTTCTTCCTAAACAGGTTAGCCTTTCCCTCGTCTCTTGAGGACAAAAGATGCGTGCAAACACGAAGAAGATTCTGGATCACACAGATGCAACTTACATGAAGTAGATTCTGCATACGTATGTTTTTATAAGGTGTCAAAATATAGCTTCTTCTCAAAATACCAATACAACGGCAGGCGTCTAGGTTAGGAGAATATAGGATCTGATCTGTAAGAAGATTGTCTGGATACATGAGCAAATTCTCTCAAGGACTGCAATGAAAAAAAATTTGAATCTTTAACGTAATATTGTTGAAATTCAACTGAACTGATTCTTAAATCGGTTAGTTTTAGGAGCTATGTCACCAGATATTTAATTATATTTCTGTCGGGAAGTAAATCAAAGAATCAAAAGCGAAAACATCACAAGAGATGTATATCTAAACCAAAATGAAACAAGGATGCTTGTAAGTAACAGGATTTGGAAGAAGATGGAGACGAATTGCGAATGACGAACTTGAAAAATTGATATTAGTTGTTTTTAATTGCAAGATGTATTATCTGTAACACAGGACGATGAAAATTGAAAACGTAGGGATATTTCCTTAGCGTACTACCAAAACTCACCAAGCGACTTACTCGGGTAGGTCATAGGGCAATTCCGTAACATAGCTCCTAAACGTGGACCTGTGCATTAAGAAATTTAGCCACGATGAATTTTCCGACGACCGTGCAATTAAGTAAATTAACACTTGTAAGTTTTGCTAACAATTTTACTCGCAAAATTTTATTTCCCCGCTTCCATATTGCTAGACATGCGAGGATCAGATACTCTACAAAATATCTTCCTTGTATTTTTTTCTTAAGTACAGGTCTTCGTCCGTAATAATTTATTTTAGCTTTCATTGAAATCTTTGGACATGTTAAGACGAAAATTAACAATAGAAACTATGTTTTGCTGTTCTCATGACTGTATTGTCAAGTTTAAATATTTATGCAAAATGCGATCGAGCCAGTCTTGTATGTTTTTCAAAGAACTTGGTAACGTTGTCATGAGGACGTCAAAACGTTGTTCGTACTTTGTTAATTTTTGTTAAATTTATTTTGAAAGCTTAACTTATAGCTACTTATTTAGCTAAGTTTTCATCAAAAAACCGACTAGTTCAAATTTTCTTCAGAATGTTTGTTTTTAATCTGTAAATGTTTTCTTTGAATTGCTTGGTTTTTACTGTTCACAATATTTAAGTTTGCGCTATTTCTGTTAAAATTACCATGAAGTACAAGCCAGGTTTACTTCTATTGATCTTTGTAATTACATATCCTTTCATATTTCGAATACAGTAGTTAATTAACAATAACAGCATTGTATATTGGTTTTCTCTTTTAATTAAAGTTGAAATAAAAGAAGTTGTAATCAATAAATGAGTCTTGCTTTATTAACAAGAAAAGAGTAAAAAAAAAAATAGCGCTTTTAAAAGGGGCCTGGAAACTAGCCGAAATGTAGGCTATCTCTTTTACTATTTTTTGACTATGTAGGGTTGCCGAACAGAAAAAAAATTCTGAGCTTTTGAACAGGGTCTAGTTCGAAATCAAGCATAAACTCTGACTTTTGATGGGCGAAAACCGTTTGCAAACTGCACGATTTTTTCCCGCCAAAAGACTTAGTATATTTTTGACTCGAAACCAGACACCATTCAAAAGCGCAGACTTTTTTTTTCTAAGGATCAATTTTCCCGCCAAAAGACTTAGTTTTTTTCGACATGATATCAGACTCGTTTCAAAAGCGCAATTTGTTTCCCGCCAAAAGACTTATTTTTTTTTCGACATGATTTTAGACTCGTTTCATTGGCGCAACTTTTTTCCCCGCCGAAAGACTTAAGTTAGTTTTTTTCGACACGATTTCAGACTCATTTTAAAGCAAAAATTTTTTCCCACCAGAAGAGTTCGTTTATTTTGAACTCAATTTCAGGCTCTCTTCAAAAGCGCAGTTGATTTTCACAATACACTTTATAATTCGAAAACCGATCAAGTTTGCATTTATTTACTAAATATGTCTACAGCTTCATTCGGCGAGCAAAGCTTCACTAATAATGTAGTTCCTGTAGCAACATTCCTCCTGCAAAACAGAAAAGACCCACAATTAATATATTGAGATGTTACATTAGCAAATAGCTCGAACATTGAACGGAAGAGAATAACTTCAAAAAAAAATAGCTTCACCAGTATTTTTTTATCGAATTAAATTATACAACCTGGGTGTTTCGCAAAAGCTGGTTGTTAACCGTAAAATTTAAACTTCAAACTTTAAGTTTCAACGCTGTACATCTAGCTCATAAAAATGCCAATATGTCTAGAAAGAAGACAACAAACACGATAATGCAAGGGTGCATTGGAATATTAGTCAAGTCACTGTATAATGAAACTTGTTTCTAGACATTAACGGCTCTGAAAACACTTAAATCTATAATATTATGCCCAAGTACTCGACGCGAACGTAACGAATATATCAGTGATTGCAGCTTTGTTAATGTGCCCACCAAAAATAAAATAGGCCTGCATGTAAAACAAAGAATTCAATTGTCCGACTTGTTGGACATGTGAAAAGCAAATACAGTCTGTGTGAACAAACAACTGCCATAAACCACTTTGAGAATTTGTATTTCAAAGACAACTTTAAAGCTATTAAAATTTCATTATCTGTAGTAATTTGCAGAAACAACTTAAAAACAGCCTTGGCCATCAAAGATAAAGGTGTCAAATCCTACCATTGACATCATAATCCTACGACATGCAGTGAATTTCGAAATTAAGAAATACTTTAGAGTTTAGACCTTCTTCCGTTGCGACACCATAAAACGTGAACTAAGTGGCGTAGAGCATCAAAATAAAACACAACCAATCAATAAAACAACAATCAGGTTATGCTTCCCCATCATCTGTTATGCCGAAATGAGTCAAAATGGGTACTTATATTTTAAAATGCCTGAACGTTTTCCATATAAATAAAGTGTTGAAAAGAGTATTAAGACTAAGGATCGACCTTTTCTTCCTATTTCAGCCTTGTTGTAAAAGAACAATAACATTTCCAAAGTGAATTTGTGTATTTTACATGATTTATTCCAATGTCTATTAAACTGATATGAATTTAACGGAAACCTAAAAGCTTAACTGCTTTTTTATGTGAGTTTTTTGAGAAAGTTGACTCTTCAAGTGCTTTGAACTGGCTGAGATTGTAAAGTAATTGATATGTAACCTGAGAAGTTACTAAAAGCGTAAAGCTGCCTCCAAAGATTTATTTAATTGAAACAGAAAATACTTCCAAAATGTTCTTACACTGAGACTGCTGCTTACAAAAATAACCCTTCTAAAAAGATCACCTAGTACATTTAAATTGATAACTTTGGTCACTGTCCCCATCAAATATTACAAAAGCCAAACAATCAATCCTAGTGTGCAAAAAACCTACATGAATCCTACATGTACCCGTACCCTCACATGGTGTCAAGCTTCAAAACTGGTTCCAAAAAGTCAGACAAAATTACAAACACAAGAACTGTACAGAATTTGAAATGATTCTTTATAAAATTCAAAATCTCGGTAACAAAGAAAAAACAATAAAATTAATTAATAAAATAACAAACAAAAATTCACTCAGAGGTCTTTCCCAAGTATTTTACCTACAAATGTGAGTGCAAGAGTCTCATGATCCATCAGGTGATCAAAAAAAGATATCAAAACTTGGAGGAGTTGACTCATTGATCGGTCTTCACAATAGCTGTTATTGCAGTTGTCAGGGGCTTGACACACAAACGAGGTGAAAGGGTCAATTCTGCATTGTATTGACCCTTTCGCCTTGTTTGCATGCCTTTTGAAACAAAAGAATATTTGACAACAGACTCAACTCCAAAAACAGCTATTTGCTGAGAAGTCTCACAAGATTCAAGATTCACACTGAAGTGAATTGCCAAATTGCATTAAGCTACTTTTTGTTGTAAAAACTGTTGCTCAAGTAAATTTTTTCATTAGGAGTTGTGAAGTCTTTTTGATTTGAAACCACGCTGCAAGACATCTTACAAATTTCATTCTTTTAATTTTGCTAACCTCTGAACAATAACATTTTAGTTGCTTTGTTGAAGTACACTGTAGTTACAGTATAAATTGCAATGGTAAACAAATTGTTTTGTGTTGGTTTCATCGACAACTTCATGACTAAAAATATCAAAATTGTACTTGTAAACACTGCCAAGCTAAATTTTGTAGTTTTCTTCGTGTTACACTGCCTCAAAGACTAAAACTTAATGTTACCGTAGAAAACCAAGAAAAGATTTTGCTTTTGACTCTTGTGAGCTTGGAGGTGGATAGCATGCACTATCCAGAAATTGAGTAAACATCAATTATGCTCAGAATGCACGGAAACCATTATCCACTGGTTTGATATTTACATGCACTAATGGAAAGTAGCCAGGTGTAACTCATTTCTTTACAGTACATACATTCAAGAAAATCTTCAGTGAAAAATTACACCAAAGAATCAGTGATCTATTGTCCACAAAATATCAATCTCGTTCAAAAGGCAATTGGTAACCAATATCTTTGCAATGCATGTTTCTTGGAAATCAATGAAAAAAAAAAATGTTCACATGATGAAATCGCAGCAACATTTGGGTTTTGAACTACAAGCTGACAGAATTTGAATTCTCCAAAGTGTTTTCCAAACCGGCTATGCATTGTACCTTTTAACCCCATGAGTTTGAAGTCTTACAACAATAAAGTTGGCTTACATTAAGCCCAAGCAAATTGCAACGCTCCGATTTCTTTTGATAATGGTTAAGAGCCATTGAATATTTAGTCACCTACTGAGCATACATCTCTTGGCTGATCAGTATTTTGCAGGGTTGTTAAGGATGGTGCCTACTTTTGTTAGTGCGCACACGTTCTGCGCATCACGCAAGGCATGGTTTAAGCGCCATGCACGCGCTGGGTTGACATTGACACAATCAACTAGGCTACCAAGTACATGACTAAAATGAAAGGGAAATTTTTCTACTGTGACTAAATCAAGTTTATGAACCTGTACTTAAACCAGGAACACTAGAATAGCAGCATATCACTAACCACTAACTGTTAACATCTTCCAGCTGAAAAACTAGCTGTTTTCTGTCGAAAATTATATTGAAATCCAACTGTAAACATGTACCAGCAGATGGCGTAGTGCACGTGCAAAACAAGTGCGAGATACGCAAATGTTTTACTTACTGGGGAGGTGACAGGAAAAAATGTCACGGGCACCATAAAAGTTTTCAAAAAAGATCAATAACTTTAAAAAATGCGTGGTTACCCCTACATTTTATGTTATGAAATGGAAGTGGCAAGCCTATTCAACACATGATTAGTTTCTGGTTGTGAGCAAAAGGTATTTAGACTGTATTTAAGCTGAACCAGAGGAAGGCTGTCAGAGATGCCAAAGGCACTTTTGCAACGATTTTGTTATTAAAAATATACCAAAAATGGTTATTTACCATGAAGTTTTAAGATCTTTATAAATGTGCTTTTCTGTATGTAAAGGCAAATTCTAAGGAAATCTGTGAAGAAATATCCTTCCTTTCTTTTTTTTAGAAAAATGCTGATGTCAGCATTTTTGCTGAGATTCAAGGCTAATTATCTTGAAAAAATGTGTGGCTACCCCCATTTTTCTTTGTGGATTCCAATAGCGCTTGCAAAGATCTACTTTTTCCGCATGGTCCTAACCTGGCACAAAAACCTTTGTATTTAGTTAGCACTGTCCTTAAATATGCTTTTCTATGTTAAGGTATGTGGAAATACGCTGTACATACCATTTGTGCAGCAATCCTTCACTGATCTTTACATCCATGAATTTTTTCATGAATCAGTCACCCAAGCATCATGTAGCCTAATCCTTTACAGTGTACCTGCTGGTAAATATGAAATAAAATATCAATAACTAATGTAGCTATAACAATTTATTACGTTATTGTAACCGTAATATTGCATAGTCTTGGCAGGAGTAATATTGCATACTGTAACTGAACTTGAAGACAAACTCCTGGGTTAAAGGAATCTGCTTCATCTGTCTAGGTTTTTTCCCTGGGGGTTCCATTCTTGGCCCATCGTAGCTTACTGATCCCAATCCCTTATGGCGCAACATTATTAAATTTTGTTCCCTATCTAGATCCACATCCCAGCTAATAGAAATTAAGAAAAAACTCCATTTTCAGCACCTTTTTCTTCAAGAAAAAACTACGTCATGAAAAATAGGTGTTTTAATTAAACATTATAGAAAATGAAACTTATGTCAGACTAAAGTGTCAATGAGATAAAAAAGGTAAAAACTTGACTACATCAAAAGATACATTGTCTAATAACACTGAAATCCACAGGCAAATATACAAGAACATCTGTAAAACATATTAGAGTTTTGGCTGGATGTTAGCTTTTCAGCTGGTCTCACACAAAACATATGCTCTGCTGAACTGCAAACCAGACCCTGGTTCTGTGATACTCCTTCATCTTCATGACACCATGATGTCCTTCAAGTGTAAGAATAAGCAGTTTGTCCCTGAAGGCAATTGTTTTCACACAGTCAGAAAATATAATGGAAACTTGGCACCACTATACATGCTTCTCTCATGATCACTACCAGTCCCCCTACCACTGCTAAAGTTCTCTCTGAACACTGGCTCAAAAGGTGGTCCTAGAATTCTCTTTTTTGTGTTGTGAAATACCCGCTGGCTATTGCATTCTTCAGCTCTGTTAGCACTGGGTCCAAACTTGTTTCCTCCAGGAGTTCATCCCAGGGTACCATGTTAGGTAGCCACACCTGCACCACCATGACATCCTTTTCAACCTTTTCTTCTGTACAACAGACACTCCATTCAGCCCAGTTCTCTGCACTGTTGTCTAACAATATGGATGGCTCTGGATGCCAGGAGAGGTAGTCTGTTTAATTGGCCTCCACTCTTGCCTTCTTGCCCAGCACATAGTTGAGTCAGTAGTTGAAACCAGTCAGGTCCAAACTCTCATTCGTTTTATTCTATAGGTGGCAGTGTGATTTTGCGGCTGACAAACAAGGTACCAATGGTTTGTGGTCATTGTCATTGTCAAATATATCGGAGGCCATACAAATAATAGGAATATCTTGTCTCAGTGTCGGTGAGTGCCCTTGAGCGGTAAGACACCTTTCTTTCACCCAGATTTGATTTTCAAGGTCACAATAAGGGTAAAAAAGAAACTAAAAACAATCCACCTACTGCACCTAATATTTTTAGTGTCTTGATTCTTGAACCACCATTGGGGTCACGCCATCCTCGTTCCCGGGGTCTACTCTAATGTTAGAGGGGGATTATATAAATTGCTGAGGTTCACTTAAAGCATGGCGGCCAATTTTGTGATTGAGCCAAACAAAAAAGGAAAGGCTGCTGTATGGAAACACTTTGGCTTCATAAAAGAAAAAGAAGACTCTGCTATCGACAATTCAAGGGTGGGTTGCAGATTATGCATGACAATGCTGAAATACAGCGGGAATACGACAAACCTGATGGACCACATGCGTCATAAACATCCTTCAGATTTGCAAGATTTGAAAGGTTCGACCTTGTGCTCAGATGCCTCGAGTCCAGTTACTACAACACTAAGAACAGCTGTGTTTGTTAAACACTTTATTGCATTTGTTTTCTGAAAAAACTGATTAAATTCCATTGCACTGTGTTCCACAGTACCTGTATTGACTACTACTTCTTAGATATTTCTTAAAGTGTAAGGTATTAAGTAAATACAGACATTCCTGAAAACTGTTGCAATACTATTGCAATAGAACCTACACTATCGCAATACTATCGCAATATCCATGTGACCTATTGCAATACAATTGCAATAGTTAAAATGTCCTCGATAGTCACCCCTATGGCCCAGCATCTATCTTTAACTTGTTATGCCATTGACAATCAAAACACAACATTACAGTGTAGCATTGTGTTCATTTGGTCAAAGGCCCTCTGACATTCTGGCATCCACTGGAGTATGACCTCTTTTATGATTAGGCTTCTTAGAGGTGCTGTGACTTATGTGATGCCCTCCACGAAGTCAGCATTTCCCCCATCAAAGAACAAGTCAGAATAATCACAGCACTGCTTGCAGTTCAGGGGACCTGTTGCTTATGGCACTGCAACCTTGTTAGGATTGGGCGAGATTCCCTCAGTGGAGTTCTAGCACTGTTAAAGAAATTGGACTTACTTTTCTTAACTGAGGGTCAATCTGTGTGTTTCCCATAGTTGCAGTATGTCTCAGTGCCTGACATGCTTTACCATGGATCCAAAAATAAAGATGTCATCACAGATGCTGAGGCATTGAGTTCCAATGACACAACTTAACACAACTCTTTACTTGAATATTTCTGCAGCACTGTTCACTCCAAAGCAGAGCCTCTTGAAATGCTTCAACTCAAGATAAATATAGATTGCAGTCAACTTTCTGCTCTCTTCTACCAGCTCCAGCTTAATGTAGCTAGCATTCATATCGAGGTGGGAGAAGTACCTAGCTCCATTTAGCCTGGTCCACAAGCCAAATGTAGGGTAAGAATGGTGCTGAGTCCTCTTGATGTATTCATTCACATCTTTCACATCTAAGCTGGCCCTGATCCTCTCGTCATCTTTTGCTGGTGCAAGTGTTGAGGATAATATATAGATTTAGCCAAGCCTAAAAGCGGAGCTCCTGATTACAATAACTGACAACAAAGGTAAAAGAAAATCATTTTTTCTTGGATCAGAAACACAAAAAATGATCAATTCCTGCCAATGGTGGCTTGGAAGCTGCTTGCTAATGTAAGTGCTGGCCCTGAGCCATCTCCAGAGAAATGTCTTGTAACTGCACCGGTTGGCTGCAGAGGGCTTGTGCTTTTGAGACTCAGTTATGACTGTGATATCAGCTTGCCGTCCAGATGCAGTGTGTGTGACTGGAATACTATTTAATGGTACTTCAGTTCCACTGTCAAAGCATATCATTTGCGATACTACACAGACTAGCAGGAACAACACCACCTGGTGGTCAGAATGTGAGTTGGACCTGTGACCATTGTATTTCAAGTCAAACAACCTCACCATGCAACCACATTGTTTCCTGGATCATCAGATCCACCGCGCTGACAAGAAGCCATACCAAGACCTATCATAACTTAAGGTGGTTCAATAGGGTAATCATTTATGGCGTTGGGCACTTAAGTGTTATGTCTTGAATGCTGTTTTTGCATTTGTATTAACACACAGTCCTCTCCAACTTATTACATGTAATAAACAATGATGAAATAGTGTTTTACTACCACATCAGTCTGTTAAAATTTTGGCTTTCATTCTTGAATTATAAGTGGCTAAACAAATGGGTTCTTTGCCTTTCATATGGCTTTACTTGTGAATTTTTTGAACTTCCAAAAATTTCCAAAATTTTCACAGTACTGTGAATCTGGAGGGATATGAAGTTTAAACATGAAAAAGTAGGTTTGTAAAGGCAGCTTTCTTGATTTTTTCAAATTAATTTATATGGCCCTTTTACTGCCATGGAAAAACTGATCAAATAGATTTCCCTTAAAAACGAGCTCCAACCAAAGTAAAACATTTATTAGCAGTCTGCCAAATTTTATGAAATTTAACCGAAAGAAACACAAGAAAATTTACTGTCAGTTTTGCTTTAATGTGCCCATGCTGACGTCATAAAATATAAAAAAAACACCGACTGATGTTCTCCTTCAAGCATGCGCAGATTACTTAATAATCTTTTGTCCTTTGTGTGCGTCCAATCAAAAAATACCATAGGGAGTCATTCATGTATAAGTGTCATTCTATCAGGCTTATCGGGACAAACAATTTGCCAAATCTCACCTAAAGAAAAGGTGTCAAATACCAAATTACAAAAGATCTAAAACTTAAACTTACAATGTAAGAAAGCCATAAGAGAACAAAAGACTGACTTCTTCAATGTAGAGAATCAAAACAAAAGGGTCTGTAACAATTTAACTACCAGAATGATGACCAGTATAAAAGAATTAGATGTTTGCTGAACAAGCTTAGGTGGCGGGCACTAGTGGTCAACCTATGTTCCACCAGAAACGAAGAGGATTGAGTTTGTGAGTGTGTGTGGACAGGTGTCATCTGTCCATCTGTCTTTTCCGTACTGTTAAGCATCACAAAAACTTCAAGACCATTTGAAAGCCATTAATTTCAACTCCTTATTTTTAAACATATTCTTTATTACACTGTATGTAAATTTCTGAGAGGTACTGTACAAGAACCTGCACATGACAACAACCATACTTTATATCATCTCTAGACTGAATCAGACATCTGAGTGTTATAAAAGTGATGAGAGTTTTACAAGTGGGAATGCATGTAGAAAGAAAATGTGTTAACTTACCATATCATGGTAGCAGATCACCTAACATTTTCTACCTGCAAGCTATAGAAAGAATAAAGCTAGTAAGAATAAAAATAAACTGATGACCAAGATTGGTAGCCAAATAACATGCCAACCAGTAATGACCCTCAATAATAACCGTTATAGGACTCTCTCCAGAAATTATGAAAGGATCCTTTAAGGGGTACCACAATCCTGTTTTGTGCGTGTGGCTTCAAATTTTTTTCAGTCCCCTAAGAGGTACCAATTCTAAAACAACACATCATCTCCTGTCATATTTTTCTTTCAGCTCAATACCCTAATACACTGGAACCTCGATTTAACGAAGTCGCTGGGGACTGGCCAAATTTGTTCGTTAAATCGAGGGTTCATTATATCGAAAACTTCAATATAACAAATTTGGGGGGAAACGACCAAAATGTTTGTTATATCAAGGTCATAGTTAATGACTGATTTGTAACGCAGGTGACTTCTGTCACGCAATTCAACAAATTTTCGTCACCCAGAAGTGCCGCATTTTGAGATGCAATTCATTAAGCGTGGTGGCTTTCAGTATCATTTCACTTTTGAGCAGATGTGCAGCTTTTGTTTACAAAAGAACGACACTTTCAGAGTAGCGATTTAAAATGTTGCAACATACAGGTTATACAGAAAATTGTCTATGTAAACAAGGAAACGGGCTTTAGTGTTGCTATGTTGCACTACCCAACATTTCTGGATTTCAAAGAAGATAGAGCAGAAGTTAATTGATGTCGAAATACTATAGTGCCAATGTCTATGACATATAATAAGTTGTTGACTGAAAGGTTGCTGTCTCTTTACCATAAGGATTACAAAGATTTGTTGACTGTTGATCTGTTCAGCGTTTATCTTCTGTTGCGTGTTGACATTGTACATGTAATTCGTTATATCGAGGTAGATTTTACGTTTGGGCTTCCGGATTATGTTCATTATATCGAAGAGGTTCGTTATATCGAGGTTCTATTCCATACATTTTACTGTAACATTGGCCGGGACATAGAATATTGTTCGTTATATCGAGGACTTCGTTAAATAGAGGTTCCACTGTAGTTAAGGAGGAAATCTGAAAAAGAGATTTAAAATCTGAACACGTAGCACCCCCACCACACAAAACATTTCACTGCAGATAATGATAGAATGATATCCATAGATCATCTTTAGGCTTGTCTTATTAATGATTTATGGGGTCAGTGATCTGCTATGTCACGGTTTTTAGAGAGGGGTGGGAAGGGCCTTGAAAGACTATCCTATCCGCCCCCCATTCCCTTCCCTCGGGGTGATTTCCCTCCACCTTATCCCATACTAGTTCCTATTAACGAAATTCAAAATTCGTGTAATGATACAGTGGGACATTTTGTGGAGGTTTAAAATTCACTGATGCAAGTTTCTTATGGCAACATGTTATTGTGCAAAAGTGTGTAGAAATGGAAATGCATAATCCCTACATCAAACCCAGATAGTTTTGTCATCCTTAAAATTCTCAAACATTTTCAACCTTGTTACTCTAAGTGTTTTAACAGTTAAAAATAGAATTTAAATATTCCTTCTTCTAATGATTTTGTAGCCTTACCTTACGTTAAAATGTTGATGTATTTAGAACCTAGCAAGCATTGGCTTTGACTGGCTGGTCATCTTTCCTGCTGCAGATCAAGTCTGAAAATGCAGCACACAATTTATCTTTATTTTAAAACTAATTGCATGATATGACACTAATGCATGTATATTCAACTGGACTAAGTTTAGAGAAAAAAAAAATGGATTTACAAATTGCGTTTTGTTAGTTCTTATGGTAACAATTTAAGCTTAAGCTGTATTAAAGTTCTTCGTAGAAACACGCAGAAGGAGTAAAAACGTCAAAACCCTGCAAAAACGATCTACCACATACGCTTAATTTATTAATAATGTAACAACGAATGAAAGTGAATAAAAATTGTAAAAAAACAACTATGAACCAGCTTTGCAGTTATATAGTGCTGTCAGTACGTCGACCAACATGTCAAGAAGATAATTTGAAAACAGCTACAACAGATAGACGAGATTGCTACAGCATTAACCACGTGTACCTCACCTTTGGTCCAGATTCTCCCTTCCAAGTTCTTGTTTCGTTTCGTCCGTCCATTTGGTGTTCGGGCAGGGAACAAATCACCATTTTTCCACTAACACGCTACTTTTTCGGTGTAACAAACCGCGCTTTTCGCAGCAAAAAGGATGGCCATACAGCTAGAACCAAGCAAGATGGCGCCAAACACGATGAATTGTAGTGCGCATGAGTGTTAAACTTCGCGCCAAATCCCCAGAGGAGACGCGGGATTGCGGGACCCCGTCTACACCACGCGGGAGAACTGAACTTATCTTCCGCACTTGTCACACTGTAAATCGGTCACGAAATCGTAGCTTTTCGACAACGCTCTTCAAACGGGAGGGATTTGAAAACGCCGGCTTTGCGTTTTAGTGTGGATCGGACGGAAAACGTTTTGAAAACAATGGGTTTTCGATGACATTACGCAGGATTTTTCTGCCCGAGTTTTCCTCAAACACAAATCCGAAAAGACTGGGGATTGTTGCATTTTCAAATTTCTCCGGCGTAGTGTGGCGGAAAACATTTGATGCGTTTTCAGAGTGAAAACTCCGTTTTCAAATTTCTCCTGCTTAGTGTGGATAGAAGATAGAAGTTTTTTAGTTCTTCACCGAGGGTCCAACATGGGTTTGGCGGGATGCGGGATTAAAGTGACAATGCTGGCGGGATTCGGGATGACGGCAATTTTATGGCAGGATGCGGGATGAAAATGAGCGTTGCGTGACGACCCTAATAACGGCTGCGAAGCAGAGTAGATGCGGGATAGTTTTAATATTGATGTCGGGATGCGGGAAAACAGAAAGTAACACGTTACAGGCGTCACACGGAGAACTGCGACTCTAACCAGGCGGGATCGGGATAAACGTTCTGACTGGATGGCGGGATTAAGGCAAGAATAGTGGCGGAATGTGGGATTGAAAAAGCGTGTGTTAGACTTTCTACACCTTTCACCGCTTTTAGGCTCACAGAAATAGATAAAATTAACAGCCAAGATAAACTGAATTATATAGCAGACTTTTCGGGCCTAGCCGTAATTCCTCAGTACTTAGTTTAGTTTAGAATCAAAAGCCACTTAACAAATCTTACCATTTAATTGTGAGAATACTCTACGCAAGAAAACCGTCTACTTTCCAACTTTCCTTGGTTCTCACTCACGAACGTACTATAAATAAATAACTTAATTAATTTAACAACTTTCCTATATCTGATGTGATGGGTTATTATGTTCAATAGTTTCTAACTTCAATATGCGTCTAAAACACTGCGAGCAAAAACATCTTTTTTCAACCAACCCGACTGCCTCATGATCACAAGCCAAAACTAAACGTTCGATCAGTGGTTCCCGCACAAGCTAGAGGGTGGTTAAGGGGGGGGGGGGGGGG